ACAACATATGGAAAATCAGGCCCTACCTCACTCAGTATGCCACCTGGTACAGGCCATGGTTATCTCTCGCCTCGACTATTGCAATGCCCTCCTAGCAGGTCTTCCAGCTTGTGCGGTGAAACCCTTACAAATAGTACAGAACGCAGCAGCGCGTCTGGTTTTTGATCAGCACAAAAGGACTCATGTCACTACATTACTCGTTGACCTCCACTGGCTCCCCATGGCCTCCAGAATCAGATTCAAGTCACTAATGCTTGCATACAGAGTGACTACTGGGTCTGCGCCCATCTACCTAAACTCCAAAATACAAACTTACACTCCTTCACGGTCACTACGCTCCTACAACAAACGCCGCCTGGCTCTGCCATCTCTTCACACAAAGCAATCCCAGTCCCGGCTGTTCTCATCTGTGACACCACGATGGTGGAATGAGCTACCACACGCCATCAGAGCAGGGGCGTCCCTCTCTAACTTCAAGAAGCTTTTGAAAACTCATCTCTTCCGAGAAAACTTCCTCTTATAACACCTCTAACTCCTAACCTCTAACATGCACTTCCTGTGCTCTTCTTCTTCTATCCCTTTACAATTATCTTGTATAGATTGCACTTTTTTTTGTTAACTCTTACTTCCTTCCCTAGGTATTTACCCCATTGATGTGATATGAACAATGAGCTCTTACTAGTATTTATTGCTGCTCTCACTAGTGTGTATTTTCAGTTGTAGATCTGTATTTGATGCTCTGTAGATGCTTGTATGTTGTTCCTCAAATGTAAGTCGCTTTGGATAAAAGCGTCTGCCAAATGAGTAAATGTAACTGTAAATTTAATTAAGCATTTAATATTTGATACTTGGGTACTTACACTTTACACTGTGTATCAAGCTTTTGGGTACTGAGGCATCAATGGCAGCTGTGAAACAAGGCAAAAATGTAAGATCCCAACAGTTTATTAATCTTATTATTATGTAACAAAGATACATGTTTTAACTACTAAACATGTAAGCATATTATGTATGCAGGAGCTTAATTAGTTTGGTCTACTGAATGTCAATGTAAGGATCATGATGTATGCCAGCCATGCTTCTCACCTTTAGCTGAGTAAACCTTTTTATAATGAGACACCATGTGGTCTTTAATGATGGACTGTGTCAACTTGCTGGAGGATGGAGGGCAGAAAGCTAAAAATACAGGACAGAGAACAACATGTAGTACACTGTACAATTAAGCTAGTACATTACCACTGACCAATACTGATTAGGTTTATTTCTCATTACAGTATTAGCACATTTTAATACTTACGGCTACTTTTCAAAGTCTGTCCTCTTGTACCAGGGCTGCAACCCAGTCCAGATGATACACTCCCTAAAAATAATAATAGTTTTAATAAATACTTACCAGTAATTTATCATGCAAGCATTTGGTGCATACAGCTTCTCAAATGTGAAGATTTACTATTTATTTACTTACTTTCTTCTTTGTAAACTGAATACCTTCTTAAATTTTGGTCAGAAATCAAGTGATTTTAAGAAATCACTTTAGGCTTTGATAACTCCTGATGGGAATGTGTCATTATTCATAACATTTATTGACTAAAGAGTCCAAATATTTTCAACAAGTCTTAAAGTAGTATTAAAAAAAGGGAGTATTATTACATTAATCATTAATAATAATAATCCTGCAGTCCTTTAGTCAGGGAAAGTACTACGTGTCTGGTGTTTGCACATTTCTGTTCTAACTAGCATGCTATTATTACTATTATTAGTAATTCTTTTTTAAAGTAAGTTCAGAACAGATAGGCAATTTAATCAACAATGCATACAACAATGAAACCATTTTCAAAAGGTGAGTGTTTTTAATCAGCAACACTGTTTTACAACATTATACTTTGATTTGAATTTATTTCGGTTGATTTGTATCTGTTTTTAATATGTCTGTTGTTAATGTAGTTTAATGTAATCCATGGTAATACGGTAGTGTAAAAATTAATACCACTCTGAAGACAGTAAATGTTATCGTCGACACGGCAAAAACATAAAATATCGTTTTTAAATAATGTAGCCTAACGTTAGCTAGTGTTAATCGAAGCACCATGTTACAAGATATAACGTTAACGTTACTGTATTATTTGCATAAGTTAACTTACTGTATAAAAGAAGTCTTGAGAACAAGTAACTTAATGTGAGGAAAGGGCTGACCATTGTCAAGATAAACCTGAAGTCATATTAGAGTATTATAGTGCATTCGCTGTGAGCATGGGTTTCTTTGGGTTGCTGCCTAAGCGCAATTGAAATGTCCTTCCTTCTGCCGATTAACTAGCCAAACAGCTAGCTAATGCTAATGCTAATAGCGTTTGCATACCTATTCTCGAGTCCATGACAATGTTATAATCAGAGTATCCCATTTTCCTCATAAATATTCTGGGGCAGCGACGGCACAGCTTGGACACATCCAGAAACTACAGTGTACTCGACTGTAAACATTGCAACGTTGTGTAAGGTAATCAAGTAAAGTCAAGTAAAGGGTAACAGCCTTATTAGGTTAAGCAGTTGAGGAGCAAGGCAAAGCCTCCCCGTCGCCATGCTGGTTGCTATGATTGCCTTCGTCATCACGCTCATGCGTAAGAAAGGAAGGACACGCCACAAACCACCCACTCCCATGTGCACAGACAAACACACGCGCACCTGACACTTTACTGGGAAATATGGAAGCATATAGAGGACTAAATTAAAATTATCATGCAGACTTGAAAATGAAAATGTAATCCCACAATAACATTATCATTTTCCACATATGTATGTGTTACTGTAAAATTTAAATGAAAATGCAATCATTGTCATTTTCACATACTTGTGTGAGCATTCTAGGACCATATTAAAATAAAAATGGAAACAGCATTTGACATTTCATTTTCAAAGACTTAGTCCGCTCTATAGTGGACTATATTCAAATGCAATGAGTGAAACAGCACCCCCAGTCTATTGCATTTACATGTCCATGTTGCTCATGGCCAATTTAAGTCAAAATTAAAATTGAATTCCATTTTTTCAAACTATGTGACAATGAAAATGAGAACAGCATTTGACATTGCATTTTCAAAGACCCGGGGATCCCGTCTAGCACTGGACTGCCTGAATCAGAAATTCCTCCATGAGAAAAGACTGTAAAAGGATCATTTTGGTATTTTTAGAGTTTGGAATCCATGCAGTACATGGCTTCTGTGAACCGGCTGCAGTGGCTGCAACGTATTCCTTTGGGGCAATTGTGCCTGTCAAAATTACGTCCACAAAACGTGCTTCTTTTTGCCACCAACAGGCTCAGACTGTAATGCGAGTTGTCTGACAACATCATGGAAAGGATCCCTACAAGTAACCCACTGTAACAGAAACCAGATACAGAAGTCTTGCGCTCAAGGACAAGAATTTCTTGCTCTGAAAGCTAGTGAGAGAGACCATGATGCAGGAACAAGAACGTGTTGGATGGAAACAAGGAAGAGGAGTTTGTTGTGTACATAGAGAACTGCTTTATTATCTTAACTTTCTCCAACACAACAAACTCCTCCCTCCAACTCTGACTCATGTTTCCACCGTTATTTTGCTGCAACATCTCGCCTCTCACGAGGTTTGCATAAAACTTGTTGTGCCTTTATTTTGTCATTAGAAAATGGGTCTTACTGGCAATTGCAACTGAAGGTGTTACATTTCTGCTTCAATGAGTGGCGGAACAGGTATGCATTACTGATGTACACAATTGTCCCTGGACATTTTCACAGCAAGAGCTTTGACTTGCTATAGTAAGCACCTAAAGCGTTACTAACATTTATTCAAGTTCTCCAGGGTGCTAGATATCAGATGCACCGAGATTATAAATAACCATGTCATGGCTGGTAGCCTATCTTGTTTATTACCGGTGTGCTGTTCTAAGGGACGTTTGTGGTATACAACCACCACATTTATAGTCAAGTGGCAGCGTGAAAAAATGACTAATGTAGGAAAGCACAGAGTGCAACAAATATAAATTCTGATTCAGCTGAGTACATGTCGGTCATGAGAACATTCTGTCAGCAGCGTATTGTTAATTCTGCCATGTTCCTTGTATTGTTTGATAGACCTTTTCACCCCTCACGTCATTTACCAACAAAGGTTGTGAAATACATTGTGACAGACTTTTTGAACAGTGAAGTAATTTTAATTTAGTGATTTTATTATCAAGGTTCAAATTAATGTAAATATGTGTATTAATACCCAATGCTGCACTTTGAAATTAAAGGACAAAAAATATCCCCATTTCTCATGCTGCTAAAGACAGTGATAAGCCCACGTCAGTGGGCTTATCATTGTAGATACAGGAGTAAAACAGGGGAATATTTTCTATTATGATGAGCTGAGAACATCTTTACTTGGCGTTGATGTTGTATGGCAAATTGATTGCACAACATTACAGTTTGAGCCTAAACCTGTTCTGCTCCAAAACATTATAATTTCATTTTGCTACCTGAATAAATGTATATCTTGAATCTTGATCTACTTTTTTCATCGTTTCCAAATGAATCAGATTTATTTTACAGCTTGTCACAGCAAGAAAAGCACAGGTGGAACTGATAACATTAATGATGGCTCGGTTGCAATTATTGCAATCCAATGCAGTTATTAATGTTATTAGTTACACCTGTGTTTGTCAAGTGTCTATTCAACTTTCATTTTACTCTAAATTTCCCTCAAGGTGCATGTCCTCTCTTGCCATGGTTCTGCATAATGAGTGTCTTCTATTAATAAATTATATTTTTAATTTTTTAAAGCATTTTTACTTTCCAGGCATACATGGGTTTCTTTGTTTTTTCAATGCTGGCCCATTTGATATCATCTGTTCAATCCCTTCTTTAAAAAAAGCAATTTTACTTTACAATTCCTATGTTTTTGGTCAAATTTAAGTAACTTTAGTTTTGTTGTGTTGTCTTGTTTTCCTCTTTTTTTTATTATCAACATATTGCATTCTGCTCATTTTGTGTGTGTGTTGTAAAGCAATTATCATTATAATAATAATTAGTAGGCCTATCAGTATGATGCATTCTCTAGTGAAGCTTGTATTACAGTTACAGTTCAAAACATAATTTTGACCACATTAAAAGGAGTTCTCATGCATGTTTCACATAGTAGCTATATTGAAATGAATGGAAACCAACGTCTACCTGTAAGGTAGGGTGGAAAACGTATTAAACTAATCAAGGTTAGTCAATTACGCTTGAATGATTTGACCAATGAACAAAAACATGCAAAAACAAACACAACCTTGCAACACCTGTAGAACGTTTTGACTCAAAATCATCAAAATATGAGAGAAAAGTTTTGTGTTACAGGCCTTCTACAGGCCTACAGACTTATTCTACTTAATAATTCCTGAGAATAATTTGGCCTAGCTGTTTATAAATTTCTAATTATCTCATTTGACGGGATGGGGAGGTTACCTATCTTTAGGTAAGTTCATCAATAATGCACTGTTTCCCATCCATTTGAATGATGTAATCATTCACAAGTCTGCTGCTGATTTGGTGAACGTCTCTGACTCGCCGCCCTGCGCCATGTGCTCCATCGCCGGTTGCCAAATGATGAGAGGATCGTTCTGATTTGGGGAGGGGGAAACAAGAACAGGAAAAGAGTGAGTATTCAAAAACGGATTATAAAATTTATTGTGTGAAATTGTAACTGATGCAAAGCTAGAAGTACAATTTCTACAGCTATGCTAGTTACAGTAAAACGCGGGTGGAGTTGTGAGCTTTGGGTACGAAAGGGAGGAGAGCATCCTTCCCCCGTTGTTCTCACTGCAGGACACGGGCGTAACGCGTGGGTGAAGTTGCTTATTTGGAAGCACTCCAGCTGTGTTTTTGGACCGAACCACTGGTGTGTGTGGTTTGGTACGACAGCTCAGTGAAGGATCTCACAAGTATCTCTCTGTTAGGCGAAGACCGCGAGTCCAAGCGAGGTGGAGACAAAAAAAGGAGGGGGGACAGCAGAGGCAGACAATGCGGTTTTGCAATGCGTTTATTGCTCCGTACAATTCGCACCCACATCCACCAAAACATGCTTTGCCGAAGACGTGGAAGAAGAAATCCTCGTGATCTGACTATCTTTCTGTGGGCTTTTTTAAAATAATCGGAACAGATTCCCCTATGTTTTGACTGAGAACAAAAATAGAGATGAAATTTCCAATAGAAAACCCAGGGAAACAAGTTAACTGGGACCCTGAACAAGGTTGGTAAATGCTGCTTTCTTATTGTCTGATAACTTTAGATTTTTGCATTTTAATAGTACTCCTTATCTCGGCAACACCTCATGGAGATACCTGAGACACATTAATCACACCAGGCTACATTGTTGCTTGAACTGCTTAGCAGACATTTCTTGTTAATTTCTTTGTTATTTCACTTCGTATTTTCATTTATGTGTATATTTCTCTTGTGTGAAAACAAAAAGGACACAAGACAAAGCGGTTGGGGGTATTTCTTATCCATCCTCCTTATGCTCATCTGCGTAAGGCGCTGCTGGGAGCGGTGCTTCAACTAATGAAAGCTAGGAGGAATAACCAGAGTGAAACCGGAAAAAATAAAACTGTCAAAATAAATGCATGTAAAGTTGTTGCTTAAAAAATATAAAGCTCTTGTCACAGGAAATTCTCTGCATGAGATTGTAATTTCCATCCTTAACTATATGCATTGTTTTCAGAGAAATGGCAGGTCACATACAGTGGATAATTACCAAATAGGCTATTTAATCTTAGGCTACAGAAAATAAGATACCTATGACTCCTCCTCCGTGCATTTTGTAACATATATGGTTTACAGAAAATAAAATGGGGATTTTGCTTGGTCTTCAAGCTCTGTTCAAATGAAATGTTGCTATTGATAGATTGATAGACGACTGCTCTTTCCAACTTTCCCAGAAAATGTTTTATTGTGAAATTTGTTTTGGCCGGATGTCCTTCATATTCCGGTGTTATTCAGGCTGGCTTGATGCATGATTTTGAGGCTCAGCTGGTGAGTAAAACGCCTACAACCTGTCTAGTGCCATGGGAATAGCTGGGCCAAGAGCCAACCTGAGCCAACCCAAAATCTGCTCTCATGTTTACTATTACTAGACTTAGTTTAGCATTTTGTTCATCAGTGGGTGACTAATGCTTTTATACAGGTAGGTCTAATATGAAGCTGACAGGCTGAAATGTTGACTGACTTAATGTTTCAAGAATCCAAGGGCTTCACTTTGTGTTGTGGTGGGGATAAAAGGTCAGAGATTAGGGCTGTGATGAAAGACTTTGGTCACGAGAACAAGACGAGAAGATATTTTAATACTATTTTGAAGAAATATTTGATGCTGAAATATATGAGTTGGGGGTCTGCGGGTCCTCCCTCCGGAAGATTTTGAGCCTTAAACTCTTAATTTACTGCATTCTGGATACATTTTCAGCACCAATTTATGGTGATAGATGTCTTTATTTATATGAAGGGAAACACAAAATTCAGGTGGCAGGTGAATCAAAATCTAAAAATATAATGGAATATAATGCAGTAATCAGTAGCTTTTTGTTGTTGCTTAAGTTACTTTCTTGGACAATGCACATGTGTTTCTTCTAGATTTAAATTGCATTGCATGTTTTCTTATTGTTTATTTAACATATCTTGTTGCAAGCTATTTTTCATTAACATTTTAACAAATCCATTCAAAAAGTGATGGGGACAAAATCAGCCATTTTAAAAAGTAGTGGGGACATGTCCCCAGTGTCCCCAGTGTAAATGACACATATCCAAGAATCCCACCACAACTGTGATCCATTAAACAGTGGTAAATGGTTGATGCAACGCTTCATTGCCATCATCAAAATTCTCATCATTATTCACATACTTTTCCCATTCTTTTGGATGAATTGAGGATCATCTTCTTTTATAGACCAGAATCCTGTTGAACATTTCCTCTGCTTTGGCCAAACATGCTGGAGACAGAGAGTGAGGCCTGAGAGAGAGAGAGAGAGAGAGAGAGAGAGTATCAGGTAGCATCAGATAAAAACGCTTTCCACTCAGGCTTATTTAATTAGCAAAAATCAATATGAAGCATATTCAGTTGTTTGAAAAATATTTTAGATTAATGCCAAAGCCTCAGAAATTTAAAACGCAAACCAAATTGTTGTTCATCACAGTCTTGGTTTTGCACATATATATCCATCCATCCATCTATCCATCCATAACCGCTTATCCGTACGGGGTCGTGGGGGGTTGGAGACAGTTTATGCCAGTTTATCACAGGGCTGACAGAGACAAACAACCATACACACTCACATTCACGCCTGAGGGCAATTTAGAGTCACCAATTAACCTACCTACATGTCTTTGGATGGTGTGTATATAGATAAACTTATGAGTGTTGTAGTTTCTTTAATCACTTAGATGCACTAAAGTCAATGAGATACAACTTTCTGGACTGCCCTTCAGTGTATATATAGCTGCCTCTGCCCTGCTGCATAGAGCAGTCACACTCACTCACAAGATGAGATGCAAAGCAATTATTGTCTTACTAAGACTAGTCATGGACTTGGGCCAATTTGCAATTCATTTACCAGAAGATGTTCAACTGCATCCATCAAAATGACAGCACCAACAGGAGATAATCATGTAGGGTCACAGTGTTTCTGCTGCTTCACCTCTTAATTTTCTAATTCATCTCATGTTCTAAATATAGCCAGCCACCACCCTTAAAGGCATATACTGTGAATTGAAAGTGGCAGTTTTGCACCTTCCCAAGCTTGTGATGTCACTTTGTTGTTATTGATAACATGACACAGGGATTAACTAACAAGATTAACAGCTCCTTGATCAGAGAATGAGACAATTCCTGGACGTCCTTGACTCATCAGTATAGGGTGTGTGTGTGTGAGTGCATACATTTTACCTATCCTGTAAGTGATACTATCCCATTAAAGAAAAGAGTGCCTCCCTCAAAAAATCAATTTCTCCTACAGAGATGCATCATTGTAGACAACAGGCTCCTCCCATGGCCATGAGGCACACCATGATGAAAGAGGAGGGGGCGTCACGGGTGAAGGCCTGAGCTCTGAATAGCTCATATACGACGCTTTATATACATTAAAGGAATCTGAATTTGGCTGCCTCCAAGGTGCAGCTTGCCACTTGGTTGACCTACTGCAGCACACATGTGTTATTATATAACCCATCCAGAAGCCATTGACTGAAAATGGCACGTATGCCTCTCTTACAGTCTATTAGAAAGATTTTATCGTGTTTCTCAGCAAAGCGGGTAACTCAATTTTCACCTTGACCTAGCTATACTGTAAGGGTTTGGTGTGTGTTTTAAATATTTCCCAATGTTTTGTATTTTTTTATTCTGCCTTATTGTGTATATACATACATGCAATCTTCAGACAGTCATATTAATTGTAACCCCTAATTCAGAATGATTCTTCAGATTTTTCATTCATAACAGTTATTTAATGATGAGGTTTTGTGCATAAGTAATTAAAGCAGTAGCTGTGGACTTCTGAGTCTCCATTTCACAGGACTAATGGCTTTCATGAGTAGAACCAAGAACAAATTCTCAGTATGTCCTGCTGCAGCCCGGCTTTGACACAGCTGTAGGCTGGATAACAGGCATTTTTGCTGATAGCTTTGAGTGTCGGCTTTGGGAAGTGCCCTTTACAGTATTAGCTCAGTGTAATGGAATGAAATCACTTTTTAATGCTTCATACAGGAGGCTATAGAGTTTCGATGGCTGTGATGATCTTGTATTTATGTGTTCGGAGTGCAAAACAAATGCATGTCTTTCTTGCGCTCAGACCAAACCTGTACAGTGATTTCTGATTACTGTAAATCACTCCCTTTAAAATTATTTACTTTATTATATTAAGAAAAAGTACAATTTACTGCCTTATGTACAGAGGTATATTATCATTTTTGATACATCTGTACCTGACGATTTCTCAGAATATTGAGAAGTTGCTTCATTCTTTTTTGACTCAAGTCCTTTGGAATCAAAAATTGTTTGTAAACTTGTGTCTCTTTTAGCTGTTTTAGACATATACTGTAAGCACATGAAAGATTAAGGTGGGAAAAAATACAATAATTTATTTTCTTATTAATGCAACAGACTGGTTAACACAGACCAGTACAAAGGAAAAACATATGGATCTGGCACCAAAATGTCCTGATCATTTCCAAGTCACTTAAACTCACATTTTTCAATATCCACTCTGTAACAGATTCACGGCCTTGAGCCAACTGTTACAACAGTCTGTGAATTTGTATTTGCCTGAAATCATCCGAATCACTTTTAGAAGATAGAATTGCTGTTTCAGGATTGGTAACCTCCAACACAAGGGTAAACTAAACATAAATTAATCTTGTTTCCTCACCTCTCTTTTCCTAGTGGCGGTGCAGACCAACTTGGTCCCTCCCAAAAAGGTCCAGCCTGGCATGGTGAAGTCCAGTCTAGTCCAGGCCAGTGTGGCCACCATGCAGAACCCCATGAGCTGTGACCCTAAGGCCAGTGGTCACAGTCCGCTGCCACGCCTGTCCATCTCCTCCCGCTCAGCCAGCGTAGTGGCCAGCATGGATGCCAGCTGTGACGGCATGGCTGCCGCACTCCACTCAGTGATGAAGTGGAAGACGGTGCTGGCAGTGTTCATCGTGGTCGTTCTCTACCTGGTTTGTGGAGGCCTGGCATTCAATGCACTGGAGCAGCCGTTTGAGAGCAACCAGAAGACCAGTATCACTCTGGAGAAGGCTTCATTCCTGGCGAGACACCCCTGTGTTACTCCTGATGAGCTGGAGGCACTCATCAAGGTGAGTGTCTGAAAGTGGAGTTTTTGGAGTTTTTAGATAAAGTGAGACATGATATCCACATTTCCATGGTTTTCTCCTTCCAGCTGCTAAGACTTTGGAATAGTAAATGGTATTTGGCGAATCTATTCATTTCCAACAGATCAATTTGTAAGAGGGTAGTGAGATAAGAAAAAATAAATGATTACTTTCAGGGGTAATTAGGGGTTAGGGGTAATTAATTTAGGTTTCATTAGCTTGTCACATGATCTTGAAAAGCTTCCTTTTATGTCCAGATTGTCCTTCAGCAAAGCCTCTGTCCATCAACAGAGTCATCGCTCAAGTCCACATAAAACAACATATACATGACAACATTTGTCTTGTTTGTTTTAATAAATCACAATATACTTAAATAGTGAGTTAAAGTGTGACTTTTTAGTGAACTCATTTAGAACAGTTCTGATTTCAGTTTCATTTCAACATGATTGTATTTATGACAAACTCAACTTAAAGTGGCTATTATTGATCCTTTTATAATAACAATGTATGAAATGATAATGTGAAAACAATGTGAAAAAGGGTCGCTAATAGTGATTAAACTTCAGGGAATTATCACCTGAATCCCCAGCTTTCCTCTGCTTTACAGAGCTTTATAGTGTTTGACTGTCCGGCCCATGACTTTACTGTTTGGGTTCACTGTCACTGCTCTAATAAAGTCATTATTCGGTGAAACACGCAGCTGTTTTTAGTGAAACAGCTTTAATAATCCCACTGTACACTACTCAGAACCGAACAGTAGACATACACAGGTGAACATAATGGAGCAGCTAAATAACCAAATATTTCCCCCAGGAGTTTGTATAGAACAAAAATTTGAGTTAAAGTGTATGAATATTGGACAGAACTAGACTCCCAGTGATGAAATGACAGCACTGATCCTTATCTGCTGTGCCAATGATATGTTCGCAGCGTCTTTCCGCTGCTCCCAAGTAGCCAAAACAAATCAGTTATTGCAGGTGTAAAGGTCCCCTTACCAGCTAAGAGTCTTCATTAGTAAATGGAACTGCTCAGGGTTCATCACATGGCTGAGGTGTGTAATGTCAGCCACGTGACAATAAGTGGACCTATACTTAATATGATGACGACGCCTGTGCCAGTTCAATAGACTTGTAAGTGGACTGTTGAGACCATTTTGTCACATTTACTTTTCCCAACGTGAACGCTTACTTGGAGCAGTTTAGTTGCTGTTGCTGCAGATACACGCTAGAGCTAAATAATGATTTTAGATTTTGTTGTTGTCAGCTTCAGTCCAGTCAACTCTACTACATTCTCTTTCTAAGTTTGTATTCTGGATTCTACTTCTCTATTACGGTGCACTCAACACCTTAATTTGGGTAGGTTAGATTCACCCACACTCTAAATCAAAGGCACACAATTGGGATTTTACAAATTTTAAATGTTACATTGAACATTTTTCACTAAAATAGTGTTGCCATTGCAGTAATAATGCTTATTTATCAACATTTTTAATAACAATGTTATTAGGATTCTAACGATTCTGTTGATTAGCCAATAAATTGATCATATAATGACTAAAGCACCATCAGAAGACACCCCCCCTACTATTTGCCCCCTGGCTGTTGACGGTTGATGGGTAAATGTCAGGAGCAGATTTAGAGGCAGATCCATTCTTTAGCAGGAGGCACAATATACCTTCAGGGTCACCACAGAGTTACCCATAGTTCTCAAAAGTGACACTTCACATCTGTTGGCAAACACATTGTAGAATACATGCAGGTTTATGTTACATAACAGTACATTAAAGTAATCTTGTAGAAAAGGCCAAATAACACTTTGTCCTAAGATGTTTATCTTCATAGAAAAATCAGTCACTGTGATCTTTATGCTGTATCCACAGTTGCTTAGAGTGAATAATTGCGAATTGTAATTGCAGCACTATATTTATTTTGTGGTTCATATGTAAACAATGGTATTACAATAGCATAGCTGGTTGTTTTGAGAAATAGCTTTAAACTAAGTTGTTGAATGCCTTATAGCCTCAATAATAGGTGTATTGAAATTCCAGAGCGAGGCTTTAACAATACCCACACGGGGTGGTGATGGCGCAATGGATAAGATGCCTGCCTTTGGTGTGAGAAACCCAGGTTCAATCCCCCACTGTGACCCATCCATCATTGTGTCTCTGAGCAAGACCTAGTCGCTCCAAAGACATGCAAACTCTGACATGTATAGCAAATGTAAGGCGCTTTGGATAAAAGTGTCAGCTAAATGAATTAAAGTAATGTTTTAAATAGAGAAACTAGCTCACGACTACAGTAGAACGGTTGCCTTTACTTTAAGAAACATCTGAAGCAAAGTTTTCTGTCAAAACCATCTTCTATATCTTCTATTTATCAGGAAATGTAGTAAAACCTGAGGGGTTGAATGATCCAGGAAGATTTCAGGAACCGAGTGACCCTCTGATACTTAATAATCTACATGACACTCCATCAAAGTCCAACATGATCCTGGATATAAACAGCCTGTTGTTAAAAACATGACTTACAACTCTTATACTGTGACACAGACGTTGGTTCATGCTGACCTGAAGCATGCTTTTTCTGCACCACTTCTTTACCACTACCTGTGTGAATTGGACCAGATAACAAGCAGATTGTGAAATAAAAAATCCCATCACATCACAACTTAACCGTGCAATTTATTATGTCTTTTTACGGTGTCAGCTGCTTTATAACACAGGGCACACTGCTCTCTGATATCACGTCCAGAATTATGGGCCAACGCTTAAGGTCACTACATCAAGCTGACATGTAAAACTGGAAGCGGGATTGGAAAATGATTTGAGACGTGTCAGCAATGCAGTAGGATGAGTGGAAAGTTTGATTCGTGAGGGAGTGTGGTGATAGAAAAGAGTGGGACTAAAAATCAATCAAGCCCTCCTTTGCAGAAGATTTCACCAAGAAAAAGAGGGACAATCTGTCAGTATGGGTTGTTTTATTTTCCGTTTTAGCAACAGAGTACCTAATTAGCAGCATTGTGCATAAAGCATATGGAAATACAACAGATCTAGCAGAAGAGCACTGCAAAAAGCAAAAAGACCCTTTTTGCAATAATTTGCTTTCCATGTTTTTCTCATGTAGTCTGAGGACAATAAAACAAGATTCCTATTAGTGAGTTCCTTGGATTCTATTAAGCTTGAGATAACCCCAAAGAGAGAACCAACCACACGGCATTTGGTGTGCTCCACTTTCCGCTAGAATGGCTCCATTTGATGTCAACTTCTTCAACACTGCTCCAGTGAATATTGGACTGCCTATCTGTCGCTCTCTCCTTCTCCACACCCATCTCTGTTCTTCTATTCTTTCTCAGAGAAGCATCCATTTTCCTTCTTCTTCCTTGCAGTGCTCAACCTTTGAGCCACAAAAGCGCTATCATTAGTTTGTAAAAAAAATCAATGACAGTATTTCTTAAGGAGAAGTGTGGAAATAAAAACATCTAGCATGGTGTCCTTGGGGTCTGGAGGGAATCTATTATTTATTGCACAGGCCAGAAGTACTAGCAAAGCAGCACAAGACTGTCTCTCGGACAAATGATCAGATTCATGAGATAATGTATGACAATGTGTCTCACCAAGAACTGAAAAGTTAAGGCGTATTTGCCTGTCTGAAATTTCCCAGAACTCATTTGCAATCTGTAACATTTAATGTATTAAAAGAATAGTTTGATATGTTGACATATTCACTTCACTCATATTCCACTCTCACGTCTATACACTTAATATAAAACTACCACCAGCAGCTGCTTAGCTTAGCTTTGCACAAAGACTTGAAACAAGTGGAAACAGTCCAAAAATCACGAAATCCACCAACTTGCACATCTAAAACTCACAAATTAACATATATTATACATATATCTTGTTTGTTTCATTCACACAATAAACAACATGTAAAAATTATAAGTTGTTGTTTATCTGCGAGTAAATTTTTTGGCCCGGGAGGAATGAACTAATTAATAATTAAACCACAGCTTGTCGTATTAATTTTTCTTTTTATGTAAAGATCAAACAAATGAGATATAACTTTTTCATCATGAGCTTTAGAAATGCTGGTAGGTGGATTTTTTAGCTTTGACAGATCCAGTTTCCTTCTGTTTCCAGTCTTTATGCTAAGCTAAGCTAACTGGCTGCTGACTGTAGCTGCATATTTACTGTGCAGGTGTGAGAGTGGTATCAACCTTCTTAGCTAACAATGAATGAGTGTTTTAATCAAAATATCAAACTATTTCTCAGGAGAAATAAGATTGATTTATCACACTACTAAGTTATGATGATACTTAAACTCTAAGCATTGCAGAAATAACGAATATCATGCCATGTGTGGAGCCCACACTGACATATAACACAATTATTTTCCTGCCGTCTCACGAAAAGGCCTTCAGGCTGCTTCACAAGTACTCCATCGAAGTGTCTGTCTGGTCTTCTAACAGGTTCCGTTAATGGTCTGTTCGTGCTGTGTCAAGCCTGTCACTCAGACAAAGATCCTCTGTGGCGACACAGCAGTGGTGACTCACTGTTGTCAAACTGTTTGGCTTAGGAGATGACAGAAAAATGGCAACCTCAGGAAGCATGTGGGTGTAGATATACAGCATTTGTGTGTGTGTTTCAGCACTTGTAAAGGTTTGCACCATAGCGTGTGTTGGTTTAATGTTTGTGTGTGTCCATACACTTCTATTAACCTCCTCATGTCTGCTTCAGTATCTGTGCAGTCCACCTACCCACTGTGCGCCCACAAAGACAGCAGACCTAATTGGCCTTCCTAGCGCCGTTGGTATGACTCACTCTGTGGCACGATGTGAAGCCGCGCTATTATTGACACCAGTCAAGCCTTGTTTATTGATGAGTCACTTATCTGCAAAAACTTTCATAAACACTTAACTACCTGCAGTAAAACTACGTCAGGATACGCAACCACCGTTGTCATGGTTTTTTATAGCATGAATAACATGATGGATTTTTAAAGATCACATGGATTTACAGTTGTTTGTGAGAACTATTAACAAAGTTGGGCTCCTTTTTTGAAAATTCTACAGTGACTAATAGGCTCTTAGGTGTCTACCTAACGTGCAGCAACTAATGAAAATGCTATAAATATCAACAAACCCTTGTGTGTTCAAATGTCTCAACAAGTGATACTGAACAGTATATGCAGTGGTGGAATGCAACATAGAGCTCTTAAAGTACTTGTAATGGAGTATTTTTCCACTGAGGTAATTCTACTTTCACTTAAATAAGGGATCGTAGTACATTATCAGTGCTCAATATTATCTTAAGACTCATGGAAAGAATATGTGCTCACTACACGAACAGCTCTGCAAATCTGCCTCATCTGTGATGGAGCAGAGTCTTCCTGTTTGGCAGTTATTTGTGCAGCTTTAATGCTTCAAGGTGGTCGGATTAAAGCTCTGGATATTAGTGATGGTGCAAGTGCTGCAGAGGAGAGTGCTTGGCACCAGCTCACAGTGAGGGTGGGTGAAGAAGAACCTAATGCACCCCGCTGGCTGGATCACTGCCGTCACATGCTGTGGAGTAGAAAGGCCACACTGAGAGGATAAAGATCTGCAGTGAGTTAGCTTGCTCTCTAATGACCCTGCAGTGTAGAAAATGAAAATGCGCATTAGCGAAGAGCCCATTAAGTTTCTGTGTGTGTGTGCAATAATTCTGCATGTTGATTCTTCTGTGCAGTCAAACTGGAGGAGAGCATGTGCGAAACAAAAACACCATTTGTCGTCCTAATTAACACTCTGCAACACAAATCAAAGTCAATATCCTCAAAGCGCCTCAAATGTGCATGTGGAGAAGGAAGATTTTCCACATCTCTAATGTAGCGTGGACTTGGCTGTGCCTGTGTGTGTGAGACAAAAATAGACCTTATCATAAAGTATTCAGATACATTGTGATGCTATTAATAGCTCTCCCTTGACGCCAAAATTAGATTATTTGGGGTTTATTATAAAATTTTGATTTTGCCGTTTCTGCCCAAACCTATGAAATAGCATTAATGTAATTAGCTAATTTTAGACACAAAAATCTGTCTCATTAAGGGCACTGCACTGATGGAGCTGAGGTAATCACATGCAAGATTATGAGCGGGCATGTGCAGCTATGTGTGTAGAAGGAGTGGTCCTCCACTCTGTCTGCTTTGAAATGTATGTCATGAGAGTTGATACATATTTTATTATATCCACATGCATCTCACTAACAGCTTGCATGGATAGATTGGGGGTTGCTCTGAATGAAGAAGCTGTATGTTACATCCCACCAGGAATGTTGGTAAATGCAGTGGAGCTATTTCTTACCAAAGGCATCCCTCACAATGACTTTTCTTGTCAGCAGAATCAATGTTTATTTGAGCCCAGATGCAAAATTCGTACTGTAAATTTCCACGGATAAATAAAATGCCCATAAACAGAGAATTTAGAAAGAACTAGATTAACTTCTCGTGGCTACATAATGGAAAACAGAAGGAAATCAATAAGAATAATGATGCAGTAAATGCAGAGCATTGTGGCTTCTTAATGTTTTTCAAGCTGAGGATAAAGAAGAGCTGAGGGACTAAAGGAAAAGGTTGACACTGAAGAAAAGAGAGATAAAGGTGACTCTGCTGCAAGTGAAAGTCTTTGTGGGAACAGTGAAAACATGCAAATTGGGTAAAAATGCTGAGTGAAGAAACAGTTCCACACTGAATAATGTGAAAAGATCTCATGTTAGATGTTTGTGTTTTCATGTAGTGACATTATGTTTTCTTATGCGCATAATAAAACAGTGCCCTTGTATTGCTTGTATTACTTTCTGTCAAAATTTACTTACGTTATGCTTATTTTTTCCCCTACTTCTCTTAAATGTGTGCTTTTTCTTTTGTGAGTTACTGTATAATTTCACATCTTTATTACTCAAATAAAGCAAGGAAAATTACACTTTGCTTGAATTGGTCACAAGCAGCAAATGTGTGCATCTAGTGACGAGGATTTGCAAGTAGACACCGCTTAATTTTATGGGGTCACAAGCCAGAAATGTTGGGAATAGATACAGTATTATTGAATTGACTGAATTAATTGTAACTCCGTCCACTTAGCTCTACTTCTTGTGTTATTATAGCTTCATAAGATGGCTCTAGAATGAATTCACTTCTCCCTCCCTCTCCCATTTTCAGGACATTCCTTCTTTCCTCTTTTATCAGGTAGTGTGACCTTCCAGGTTCAGATCAATTACTATCCTCAATTACCTCACGAGTGTTACACAACCAGGGGTCACACATGAATGTTGGCAGGAGATGGGTTAACGTGATCACTCTTTTCCAGCCATCAGGACATTATATAGGGAAATCATAAGAGACACGCGTGTGTTGTGTTGCCATCAGCTGAGCTGGTATGCACATGACCCTGAACTCCTCTGTTACTGAGAATCATAATCATTATAATGTAAGCATTTTCACTCTTTCCAGCATGCCATAGATGCTGTGAGTGCAGGAGTGAGTCCTATTGGAGACACATCCTACAATTCCAGTTACTGGGACCTGGGCAGTGCTTTCTTCTTTGCTGGAACTGTCATCACTACCATAGGTAAAGTTTTAAATAATTCACTCTTTAGTACTCGTTAAAGTTAAATCTGCTTTTGTTGACAGTCAATACAACTGCCATTGAAAAAGTTTTATATGCTGATGTATTATATTTTTAACACACTTTTCCCCCATTACCTTCAACTTTGGTTTGTACTTTTACACATTCCCAGAATGAATTATGACAATCTCTGAAGAAAAATTAAAGGAGGGGTATGTGATTCTGGAGAAATCCAATACCATGACAAATACCATGATATAGGTTATATATATAGAACTTTAGCTTAGTTGTGGGCTAGAACACTGTCACAACAGTTGCAGCTGTAAAGCTAATATGCAGAGAGGACAAGACGGTAAGACGGTCCAAGAGCCAGCACACCAGCTCCAGACAGCAATACTCTCTTTATAATATAGCTAACATCAGAACAACAGCTGTGAATATGTGTATTGGATTAGAATTGGTTGTGCCTCTAGTCTTCTGTTTTATTGGTATAGGTTAAAGCACCAAATCACATAAAGAAAAATGATCTCCAACAAACCTTATGGAAAACTTTACATTAAATGTAAAATTCTTCCTCTACATAAACAGACGCAACAGAATTTACAAGGTATTATCACAGAGGTATGACTGAATGAAAAGGAAAAGCTTCAGTCTAGCTGTAATGAATTAACTGAAAATGCTTTGTTTTGTTAATCATCAGTCAATCATAAATAGCATTTCAAGTCTACTACTGCCCTGTCACTCTAAGCCTCAAATAAACTCGGGAGCAGACACGGACAGCTGCAGACCCCACGGATGCGGACTACTTCTGTTAGTCAGTGAGGAGAGGAGGATTCATTCCAATGTGATGTAAAGATGAAAAATAGATGGTTTCCTAAATTATCACCCACAAAACAATTTTCCCCCAAACAAATACCCACTTATAAATAATCATTCTTATTTTCATAATAACAGAGTTTAAATTGGATATTATTTTTTATTTCATCATAGACACTTTTCTTTAAAAATCAATGGCATTTTTTCCGCAATAAAAGTTTAATTTCATGTCACGTTTTCATGAAAAAAACATCTATTAATTTATTTTCACAAATTGTTATTTCAGATACATATTTATAATATAATAATAATATTAATGTATTTATCTTTTTAACAATTGCTTATTTATTTAAATAATTTTGAAAACTTTGGGGCCTGGTAACAAAGAAAAGAAGAATTTTGATCTCTACATAAAAATGGTGGTCTTGTCAACATTTGGTGATGAGCAAAATGCTTCACCAAGTAACTACATGAGCTTATAAATTCAAGACTAACAGCCTTAATTTATCAAAATGCATTAGTGCTTAAGATGGGCTTTGTCCTTTCAATTTATTAAAGGTGTTTTCTCATTACAAACTGCTGTAAAGCTCTGCAAATCGTTTACTCTTATTGCTGCCCTCAGGTGAGGTACAAATCCCTTTGCCCTCATGAGCTTGTGCTAAATGATGCAAAGCCAAAGCACTGTAAGATTTAACAACCTGTGAACGACATTATTGAGGATGCTGACAAAACAGGCACTGCCACTGCATAGGTGATGTGGTTTTACTTTATGTCAAGGTGTCTATAAATGCTTTTTAACCCTTAAAAGGCGTTCTCGATTTTACAAGACAAACATGTTTTTAATTAATGTTGGCATTTCCTAACATGTTGCAGAACGGTGTCTTTCAGTGGCTTCATTTGCTTCACTCTCCAGATTTATTATTTTTAAATATCAGAAGTAGGATACAAGAACTATAAGTTTAGATATATTAGTATATATAATAAATTTATGTGCAAACAATTCAAGATAAAACTGTCCTTGATGTGAGACAGAAAATCAGAAAAACACCATGACAACGGAAGAAGTAGAAGTAAACATGATACTGACGGGATGCTTGTTATGTAATCTAGTCACAACTTTAAAATAACTGTATGCTTTGTCCCCTGTCTCGCTGACATCTCTGTCTATCTCTGTCAGTCTCTGTCACTGTAGGGGTACATTTATTGCAATTCCATTAAGTGGAACCTAATTGTTGTCTGGGAGCTTATTTACTGCAGACCCCTGCTAAGGGAACTAAGACACATTACATAAGCGCTTCAATTGATTATGTTGTATAAGAAAGTCTTGATTTGCTTCTTTTGCTTCTAATCGTACTCGCAATACTCCTTTGCCTCCTCCTCACCTCTTCTTCACGGCCTCTCTTTGCATTCCTCGTTTTATCTTCTTTAACGGCATGTTTCTTCACTTGCTTACACTCTTTTTTTTTTCTTCTTCTCTCATCTTCCTTATGTTTTCCTTGTTTTGACAGGTTATGGAAACATAGCTCCAAGCACAGAGGGCGGGAAAATCTTTTGCATCCTTTATGCCATATTTGGCATCCCTCTCTTTGGCTTCTTGTTGGCGGGGATCGGGGACCAGCTGGGGACCATCTTTGTGAAAAGCATCTTGAGAGTTGAGAGGATATTCAGGGTGAGTTGCAAGTATCACATTGTATTGCTTATTCTTTCATCTATCTCTTGTAGTGCTTTGTAGGTCTTAGTGATGTTGTATGTGAATGACAACAATGTAGTTTTAGTTCTTTTTTATTCACATTTGCCATTTTTATAATGGGATATTTAGCCATTCTCAGGTCTCATGTATCAGTGCCTTTGAACCTTTGTTCACTCTATTGATCTTTTTTAATTGCTTGTATTAGTAACATCTAATATTTGGTTTTCTCAGCAAAAACACAAACAGATCAGCCAGACTAAGATCAGAGTGACGTCCACCATCCTGTTCATCCTGGCTGGCTGCATTGTTTTTGTCACCATCCCTGCTGTCATCTTTAAACACATCGAGGGATGGACTACACTGGAGGCCATCTACTTTGTTGTGATCACTCTCACCACAGTGGGGATAGGAGACTATGTGGCAGGTAGAGGGATGGTTGTTCTTCCATGATGGAAATGACTATTTTGTCAAATTATCATGACTCATTTTTGAGCGTACTTGTGTTTTTCCTTCCCCACCAGGTGGAAACCGTAGGATCGACTATATGAAGTGGTACAAGCCTCTGGTGTGGTTCTGGATCTTGGTGGGTTTGGCATACTTTGCGGCCGTCCTCAGCATGATTGGAGACTGGCTCCGAGTTCTGTCTAAAAAGACCAAAGAAGAGGTAGGGTTCATTCAATTACACTGTTCAGTATTGCTTTGGATATGTAGAAAATAAAAGGTCACTCCACTGCTGCGTCCTCTGCCCCTTCTCTCTAATTTTGCCTGTTAATTGCTGCTTAGGGCTCATCAAAGGTTCTGTAACAGGCTGCTATTGATCCTCTAGAATGGAAAAAGATGTATAGGGGTTCAATACAGGGCTTATCAGTTTTAGGATTTGATAGTCGTTATCAATAGTTTCTACCATCAGAGCCATCACTTCACACTAGTAAGAAAAACGGAAATCTCTCATGTGAAATAACAAAACTGTTCCAGCTTTGGCAGAAGACATTATCATTTAGAACCTGATCACTCATACTGAGAAGCTGATTGAGACATTATTTTATCGGGCATTTAAGAAACAATAGTTTAACACAGTGACAATGTCTTGCAGATTGTACCACATACTCTTGTAATAACTATCTGATCCTTGCTGCACTGTCATCACAGGTTGGGGAGTTTAAAGCTCATGCAGCTGAATGGAAGGCAAATGTACGAGCAGAGTTCCGTGAAACACGCCGGCGCCTGAGCGTCGAGATCCATGATAAGCTCCAGCGGGCCGCCACCATCCGCAGCATGGAGCGCCGTCAGCTTGGCCTCGAGCAGCGGGCTCACTCCCTGGACATGTTGTCTCCAGAGAAGCGAGCCTTGTTCACCAGCCTGGATGCTGGCCGTTTCAAGACTTCCTCGCAGGAGAGCATCGACACCAAGCTCAACAACCTGAGGCTGAAGGGGGCCTGTGAGCCGTACGACCATCAGGGGAGTGAGCAAACGCCGCAGACAGCGTCTTCCTCAGAGGAGAATCTCTTCAACCTGCGCTTTGGATCCCTCACCAAGCTGGCCAGACGCAACAAGAACCGCGAGCTGCGGAGGAACATTACTGAAGATGTGCGACGGTCAAGTGTAGGCATAAACAATGGCAGTGCCATGCTGGGCGAGGAGAGGACGGAAGAAGAAGGCGATGGAGAGCCAGATGACGAGATCGGAGAAAGAAAAGAGGGAAACACTAGTCTGACAAACCTGTCACAGTACGCAAAGGAGCGCACTAAGTTGAATGGGTTCACACCAGTACAGGCCAAAGATAGAGAGAGCGACTAGGTATAGAATGGAAGAGCACTACAAAGACAGAGAGCGAAACAGAGTGAAAGATACAGAGACAGAGACACCGAAAAACAGTGCATGGTCCTTTGAGATGTCAAGAAATGTGCCTTTCTGTTTCCTATGCTTAGATTGGAACCGCTCCCAGGAAATTCAGTCATTGTGCCATAGCCATTGGAAGAAAATGTGTTGCCAAAAATGAATGAATTGAAGTGACAGAAGAGGCTGTAGTTAAAATACCTCATATCTGATGTTGCTGTAGAGTGGGCTACTTAAGAACTTTCATTTCTACAGAATCTGTCATTCCAGCCTCATTGTCTTTCAGCCCTGACAATGCGACACTTGGGCAATGGCTGTGTGTTAATGCTGAATCTTATTTTTAAATAATGTGGGCAGGACATCCCAAGAGCTAGCTTCATGTCATCCATCTTCAGAAACATTATTGATCTCCACTTTGTCATCTCATACTGCGGTGGCTATGTTTAGCTCAGCCAGGCTGCTACAAAAGGACTACTACGTTCAATGAATGGGCGGGAAGTTGTGTTTCTGCTGGATCAATAGACAATACGAGCATTTACCTAGCTGACAATTATTCCTACAAGGTATGTGGCTTGGAAGATGTAACCCTAGGGCATAAACTACAACATGCTAAAAGCTCATAAAAACAAACTACTCACATTGATTGTGCATGGTTATTAAAACACAACCACAGCAGTTAACTGATATAAACTAACTTGAAAGCTTGAAATTACAACTGTAATAATGTTTCTTTTTGTTTAAATAAAATGAAATGTGTCTTTCATTCATATTTATGGTGAAAAAAAGCCACTAATTCTTCTTCTTGGATCAACACAGAGCTGGAATTCACCTGACAGACACTGATTTAATCACCTTTGGCCATGAGATTGTCAGCAAAGTTAAAAACACTCTTTTTCGTATATGACATTCACTTTATTACAGAGGTCTTGAGACTACTTAAATTACTTTTTAATTAATGAATGTGATGCTCTTGATTTTGTACTCACCAAGCATGTTTGCACCTGTTTACTCCTTTTTAAATCGGCCGAGCACTTGAGTTGAGTTTTCCATTGTATTGTAAAATATGAACATAATCTCTTTTTTTGCATTTCTTTTCTGAAACTCAGTAGAACATTCTGGCTTCAATCATATCCACACTGAAATGTGTTTTACTGTAGTTCCTAAAGGTTTACTCAATGAAATTTTTGTCAGATGACCATTCATCACCATTCAACTTTGTTTGCATTTTATAAACAGGCACTCGCAATACTACCCAATGCCTACCATGTATCCATAGCGTGCACTGCATGCATTTCTAAAGCTGAATTACACACACACTGGAACCTGTAACCTGATTTGAATAACATTCATCTTTTCATGACCATTACCTGTGACAAGTTGAACGACTATTTGTTGTGCACAATTTATTTATTTGATCACATTAAATGTAGTGAGTGCCTTTTCCCAAATAATAAACATGACCAAGAAATTTGAAAGTTGGTATACAAATAACATAATTAGCATATTCATTCAATATGCTGGTGGTATAGGGTGAAGGGCAGTGCTTTTCCAAGGTCATTTCTACAAAATTATATTCCAGATTTGAAAAACTATTGCTAGCTGTTTTTCAGTAAGAGGTTTCACAGTTGCTGGAATTACTAAGTTAATCATGTAACAGGTTGAAATTCAGATCACACTGTATGGATTATCATCTAAACATACATTCATTCTTTAGGAACGTGTGAACATGAAAATATTTATGGACGTTCTCAACTCATGAACTGTGTTTGTAATAAGGATTGGCCCATTGGTGGATGAATGCCACATGTTCTCTCTTCATTAAAGCTAACTTCCTAGCCCCAGAGGCTCTAGGCTACAAAATACAAAGACAGAATCATGCAGTAGTAAGTTAGCCTAGCTACCAATCCTGTACTAGAACATACGGACTGAATGTAACCAGCTCTCTTAGGGCAGGTTACAGACTATGTTTTGTGTGTGTGTGTGTGTGTGTGTGTGTGTGTGTGTGTGTGTTTTGGCCATCAATTTCTCAAAATGTTTTGGCACACATATGATGGACAGTTGAGATGAATGTGTATTTAGAAGACTGTTTTCTGTTTTATTTTATTAAATTTGGGCTTCTCTTGGTAAATGTGTATGTGCTTTAACTGGAAAGTTCAAATGTATTTACATCTGGTAGGTGGCTTTAATGATTTATGGTCCATATAATGCCACAGACTAGAAAATGGTTAGATTTTCTAGTGTAATGTAATAAATTGTCACATACTTTCCGGTACAACATTGTTGACATACTGTAAGTGAAAATATTCTTTAGCATTTTATGTAGTTTAATTCCATTATACTAAATGCTACTATGTAGTATTACTATATACTGAAAAAATTAATGACTTCAAGTTATACATCTTTTTAGTGTATTACTCACAGTTTGCCTGTAAAAAATCACGGAAATGATGACAAAGACAAACCACACTAATTCAAACACAATATGTCAAAAAAGCATCCCTTCTCTTCACACTTTATTTTTTATCCTTTTCCTCATTTCACTCCTCTCAAAAGTGTAGCCTAACTTATTTTTAAAATATACATTATCACTGTGAATTTGCCTTGATGCAGCTTTTGGGTAATTAAGTGACAGAATTCATTATTTTGCCACTGACTCCCATTGTGCTGGAGCCCGAGGTCTCCGTCTGTGCATGTCTTGCTCGGAGCCACAGTCACGTGTATCAAAGTGTGTATGGCACAGAGGCAAAAGACCCAGCTGACAGCACCACAAAATAAAATAATCAGGGAGACAGGTCAGTAACGGCAGAGCTATAAATTGCATGAAAGGGTGTGTGTGTTTATGGAGGTTTTCCTTTCAAGGTGAAGTGACCTCAATCTGCTCCGCCCCCCTCCTTCCCTTTTGTATGTTTCTCACTATCTTTCTGACCTCCTATCTTTAACTTTGTTCCTCCCCCACACATGATGAATCAACCAGGGATTTTGTTGGTGTTGTTCTGTTCATTAGTCTATTTACTCAATCAGAGTCATTGACATGGAAGACCCTGGCAGAGTAGGTCTTACTATACAGCAGGAAACAGCTGTGATGGGTAAATGCTCACATCACGCCCAAAGGCCTCCTTTAATGACTAGTCACGATAAGGTGAGAAGCAATTTCACCTTGATGGCTGAGGAACAGACTCTTGATTTGTTATACTTACGGCTCTTGACAATCCTGATGATGCTGTATAACCAAGCTGCATAATCATGTTGTGTTTACATTTTTATTAGTTCTCTCCACATTGACTTACTTGTGTGATCAAAAGCTTGAAAGTTTGCTGCATCTGTCTCATTGGCACATGCACTTTAAAATCAAATGTGCACATGCAAATTGTATGTGATGTGACAGAAAAAAATAACATTTATTCATTTGATACTTTGGCAAATTATTTGCATCCATCTGGTCTCCATCTAAATCATGACACTTTGCCAGAGTAAGAGTAACTGCACATTTTATTTCAAGCAAACTGACAGAAAAGGAATCATCAACTGATGTCAGCCATCAATGTGTTGTAGCTTTATAGCTTTTTCCCCTTTAAGAGAGCTGTGCAGTTTACCCCGAGTGGTGCTGCAGAATCACAAATCCATCAAACAAGAATTGTTTTAGAGGGTGTTGAAGAAGAGCAAAGACTTGTGTGGACCTGGAGTGGATGACCCTGCATGCGTCAGCACTCATCCTAATTGTATGACATCTGCTAGTGCTCTTAAATAAAGGCAATCTCAGTGAAGGTAGCCATAGCAACAACAGAAAAAAATACTTCTCTTTCATTTGAGTTATGAAGGTCACGAAACAAATCATTGCAAATAGATCAAGTATAAGAGTAGAGTAGATTGTAAAAGTAAACCCTGCCACTCTCAGTTCCCTTTAAACATTCCGTTCAAAATGGCCATGAATCATGGAAGGCTTCTGCTAACTCACCCCATATATTTATGCATCTTTAGTAATGCATAAAGCTTACATGTGCTACACATATAACAAGCAATGCTGCAGCTTTTCTCAGACAGAATTAGACTTGGCTCCCTCTTGTTTGTATAATTAGGACCTAAAACCATTCTTATGCAGAGTTCCATTTTGTGGAACTTGCAAAGTAGCACTACTCACTGAGTTTGTGTTTTCTCCAACTTTCTAAATAGAGGAAGTTTTGTTGCTATTTTAGGTAATCCCAGAAACAGCAAAAATCTGAAAGGACAAAAGAGGGAGAGCAGAACAGAAGTTGCATGATATAAAGGTGTAGTTTTTCAGTTAACTGGAGCTAATGTTAAGTAGATTAACATAGCTCAAGTACCTACATGAGCAACCCTATAGGTTTAGCCACTCCTGCCATGTGAGATTATTGTAAAAAGCAGAATTAACAAGCCACAATAAGGACCTTCATTTAAATGTTTTAATTTCTACTCAGCCCTGCAATGGATCGGCAACCTGTCCAGGGTGTACCCCACCTTTCGCCGATGTCAGCTGGGATTGGCTCCAGCCCCCCACGTCCTGTACGCTGGATAAGTGGTTGACGTTGGATGGATGAATGGATGAATTTCTACTCAAATTAAAGCATTCAGTTCATTACAATGATCATTCACCTCACCATTGAACGTAATATGCAATTTTTTTTTGCCACATTAAAAGATGACTGTGACAGTGAGTGCTTCTTGTTAGTGACAAGTCTAAAAATCACAGAAAAGTACTACAGAGGTAGATATTAAAAAAACAAAAAGGCATCCAAGAAAACAAAAAAACATTCCTCTTCCTATTTTCAACAATGAAAACAGGTCAAGTTGATACATAATAAGTCAAATTGATTACGTCTGCTCTGCACTACTGGAGTCTAAAAGCTTGGCTTGTCCAGCAGGTTTTTTGGTTTAGCTGTGCCATTTTAAATTATTAATTGTTTTCACATTTTACAACTTTTCTACACACTACAATGCTAACTTCAAAAGTTAGATGTATTTGATTTAAATTAAATGAGCTAGAGCAAGTTTATAACACATATGATGTAAGCAAAATAAAGCATTATTTTTAATTTATTTTTTGTTAAAATGAAAAAATACAGAATTAGATCTAAGACATATGATATTTCAAAATAAATTAAACACAAACATTGCTACATTATTATGCCGAGAGTTGCTACCCTCCTTTAAGTGATTAATTTCCCCACAACGAAGAGAGGATATTGCCAGAACAAGGAGTTGTTGTGAGGAAGGGAGAAGTGTGAAAGTGCTGAGAGCGACAGGGCGGATGTTGTTGGAGGGAGTGTCAGACAGTCACCTGGAGGAGCCCAGCGTGCTTCACATCAAATGCAACAGGAGAGGCATGGCAGATTTCAGCATGATAATATGTCTGGCAGCTGAGATACTGAAGTGAAATGAGTTGGAATATGTGATCTAAACCAGCCAAGAGAAACTGACAAATCAAATACATCATGTGACACTGAAGCACCACAGAAGGCTTCAACTCAGACCAGAAGTTGGGTTTGAACTTAACTGTTACTGGACTCCAACTGTTGCTGTTTAGCAGAGTTTCAGGAGCGGGACCACACATCAAGCACGTCATCGCCAGCATTTCCATAAATACCCACACGTCCTAAGTTTCCCCTTCGCCCTCGTATCCTGCATGGCTCTCGCATTCCGCAGACAAACCGAGACCAAGCAACACTGTGTCGAGCACGCTACGCTAACATCCAGTAACGCGAATTATTACAAGCTACTTCCATCCACTTACCTCTTTGAGAAGTGTCGGCACATCACTATCCCCATCGGACGCTGAATTATTCAGACGGACATCTTCAATGTTCACGTCAGCAGACCCAGCACCAGAACCTGAATTCTCTCCTCCGTCTAAACGCTTGAGGCACCACTTTCTACAATCCTAAAGTCGGCCAGGGAGCGGGTGAGTCCAGCCTTAACACCATCCGCCTTCCACGGTCCACTTTCCTCAACAATCAGAAACATTGCACCCGAAGAATCCCCTGCCTCTCATTGAACAACTGATCACAGCGTTTCCACGCGCCAGCGAGGTCCCGGGTCACACAGTCTTCACGAACTATAGCCACTCTTCAGAAAACGGTTAAAACTTTTCAAGCTATCATGTCAGCGTGCCATGCATCCAGTTCCGTCAACTTCCAGCAGCTACAGCAGCCAGTTCCATAGAGGGCCCCAGCACCAAGATGCTAGCGCCCACAGTCGTACACCTCGAACAACCTCAGCAGCCGACTTCAGTAGGGACATTAGGCACCGGGATGCCCACCGTCTGCTCCCATCAACCACTAACCTGACCGCACAAAATGGTCCATTACAGAGAACCATCCGAAAAGTCATTGACGGAAACCGTTTCAAAGGACAGGAACTTCTTGCCATTCTTCGCTTATCTTTCAATAGTAATCTCCAGTTCTGTTATAACTGACGCTAGCAGCATACAAGCTAACCGCTCAAGTACAGTTGTTTCGAGTTCTTAATCATTACAAGCTCAGCCATTTCAAGCTAACTTCAAGCTAACAGCCGTTTCGAGCTAACTAATAGTCGTTTCAAGGTAATTTCGAGCTACAAGCCATTTCAAACTAACTTCGAGCTAACAGCCGTTTCGCGCTTAGTTTGAGCGAGCTAACAGCCGTTTTGCACTTAGTTCGAGCTAACTAACAGCCGTTTCGGGCTTAATTCGAGCTAGCTAAGTCAGTCTTGAGTAAACGGTCATTTTTAAGCCAAGTCGTTTCAAGTAAAGAGTCGCTACCTAGCTATGTCGTTATCTAACCACGTCATTTCAAGCAAACAGCCATCAATGTGTTAAGTCACTTCGAGCAAACAGTCATTTCGAGCCATAGTCATTTCATGCCATAGTTGTGTCGAGCTAACAATCATCTTGAGCCAACAGTCATTTCCTAGCTTAGCCATTTTCCAACTAAGTCATTCCAAGAAGTCATCTTCTAGCTAATTTGGTTTGAGCTATAGTCGTTTGTTTCTTCTAAAGTCTTTCAAGCTAACAGTCTTTTCCTAGCTTTCGAGCAAAACTAGTTTTGAGCTAATCATTTCGAAACAACCCTGACACCCTATTCTGCAGTTATACAAAGAAGACTAATTGCAGGAAAATGGTCC